TTTAATTTGAATTCTTTTTATTTTTGTTTATGTATTTTATATTTTTATTTTATTTTATTTCTGTTTTTTATCGGGTCTCACTACAAGAGGATTTTTGGAAGTGGTTGAAAATTGTTTTTTTTTTATATCTATCTGGATTTGTTTCGAATTTTTCTTTCTTCTTTTTTGCTAACAAATTTTAATGACATCGGGGTAGCCTTCTCGTTAGTTGAGAGAGAAATTTAGAGAGAAAAGGGAGAGAGAGAGAAAAATAGATAAGAGCTTTAAAAGTTACCGCAAATGCCTTTTTTTAATTTTAATTCTTTTTATTTTTGTTTTTAACTTCTATTTTTATATTTTATTTTATATACTTTTTTATCGGGACTCATTACTAGAATATTTTCGGAAGTGATGCTATACATGTAATCAGCATTGAAATATACCTTTATATATAGATTTGAAGGATAATATAACGAATTAATTTTTTGTCACCTGTCTGGATTTGTTTGTTTTTTTTTTTTTTTTTTTTTTTGTTTTTTTTTTGTCTTTTTTGGTAACAAAATTTAATGAAAACGGGGTTACCTGACACTTTAAAATTTCTCAATTTTCAAACAAATATCAAACAAAATTCTATCAAATTCATTTTTTGATCTTCCAAAAAGTCATGTAATATGTGAAAAGTCGCTGAATCATAGACATAGATTGCCCACAACGTTGCTTAGTGGAAAGTGAGCGCTGGTCAGCAATAACCCAAATATGACACCAATACTCCGTTTTGGGGGGTTCTGATCTGAAATCAGAGATAAAGCATAACAGAAGGCGCCAACTACTTCCTGAAACGGCAAAACGAGCCGATCATTCCCCCACCATCATTAGCAATGGTTCGCTTATATGAGTTACACTTGTGGCCTGGAGTGAACTTATGTCCCAGTAGACATCCAGAACATTCTAATAGAGTACAACCGTTCATCAAGACGGGAGAAAGCCCAGGGTTCGATCAGTGATGATAAAATAACATTAACTTGAAATTTTTAGAGCTAATTAAAGTTACATAAACCTAGTTAATCTCATAATTGCTAGTATATTTCTTTACAGATGAAAAAGAATTTTGAAACGACGGAAATTTATTTCTACCAACGAATACTGACAATAACGTGGACAAGTAAGGAGGGCAACAGGGGATATTTTAAGAAAAATAACCACAAGAAAACGTATACTTACAATCAGAATGAGTCAGTTGAAATTACTGAAACATATAATGAGAAACCAGTGCTGTATTGCAATCTAATATTCTATATAGCAATGAATGCCGGAAAATCACCTGATGGATGAAGAAAACTTGAAGCGACAGAGATGTAATTCTACATCAATTCTAAATCAAAACAGTGACGGTGCTAATATCTATGATATACCCCCACCCTCTATCTTAATTTTCATAAGGTAGTTTCATATAAAATACAATATTTTTGTACCCTAATTATTTACAATAATGGATCATATGCAATATAAGTTAATAATTCAAGTAGAAAAACTGAAAATAAAATAATGTTTCTATTTTTAAAAAAAATAAACAAAACAGCAATTTTTATTAGGAAATAACTTGCCTACAAAAACGCCTGATAATTATGCACCAACCTAATAGTATAGCTGAATAATTCAACCAGAAAAGTTAGAAATCAATACAAATTAGAGGCATGTCATAATAGATCATTCCATCCGAAATAAATCATTGTTTTGTGGCAATTTTTAACATCAACTTGAGAATTTTTTTGTTAAAAAGTTGAATAACTTAACACATTGAAAATTATGGATAAAAAATAGTGAATTTTATGTAGTGGTTTTTCGGGACTTAGTATGAGCCGAGCAAATTCAGGGATTTGGACAGACAAAAAAAAAAAAGAACCCAAACTTCGAAATCCGCGAAAATCTTTTAATCCCTTAAGGAGTCAGTTGTGCTTAGTTTAATTTTTAACGTATATAAATGTAGGTAGACAAAAGCAAACACTGAAAATATAGCGTGGATCACAAAGCACAGCTGGGGACCTCCAATGAAGCTGACCCCCTTTCGAGGGGCGTAGTACGCAATGACCCTGTCCGGATATAACGATAGCTTTCAGTGGTTATCCAATGTTTTGCTTTTTTACACAGAACTCCCGTTTAGCAGTGAAAATAAGCGAATTGCATTCTGCTCAAATATATATATATATATATATATATATATATATATATATATATATATATATAATTCAAGACTCTTTGGTAAATCGAATCGAGTTCTCTCAGTCACTGTGTGTTTATCTAAAAACAAATACTCTTAAATTCACCTTCGTCCCTGCCGTGCGCCAACGGCTTAGTGGTAGAATCCCCGACTGGCGCCAATTCAGTCGGTTTTTGGTTCCAGCTAGAGGCAACCGGACACTGATGAGCTGTGATACAGCGAAACAGTCTGTGGATGATATATATATATATATATATATATATATATATATATATATATATATAGGGTGCGATGGATAAATTATCGTCTAAATTACGCAAACATGAAAATAACACTGACTTCTCATTTTAACAGACATATTTACCAAAACTGCATAAAAAATATCTTGACATACTAAAGAATCAAGTTATTCAATAAAATCATCATTGGCTTTAAATACGGCCTCCAGATGACTTCGCAAACTCCTGAAACTCTTCTGCACGGTTTACTTGTTTAAATTGGTGAATGCTACCATAATCCATCAGTTAGTCTTTGGTACTAAAAGGAGTTTTGTTGCTACCCTCGCATAATAATCAAGGGGGTTGCAGTCTTCATTATGAAAACTCTGATACTCATTTTCAATACTACTATCATCATCGTTAAATAATGCGTCATCTTCCGTTCCATTGAGAGCATTGCTAATGCCACACTTTTTCAAAGATTTTACAATTTCTGGTCTAATATTATCCAAAACTTACTTCCCACATTCGCAGACTTGTGGAATGCTGGGTAAGTGTAATGTCGTGACCAGGCATTGCCATCCACGTGTTCCATTGCTTCTTCATGTTTAAGTCTAAGCCGATAGGAGTTGCCAGGTAGCTAATTTCGACCGACTATTGCGAATTTTAAACCTACTTATGGCATATAAGACGCAGGGGAATTTTAAAAGATATTTTAGTAAAAAAATGTGAACCTTATATGCCGTCAAATACGGGAATTTAATTAATGAAACGTATATAAATATAAGTAGAAAAAAAAAGCAAAATCTCCATAAGATAGCGAGGCAGGTTGAGGGCTACTTACCTGGAAATACCGGATAAGTTTTTATTATCTTTTAGTCTCTGTCTTCAGGCAGAGTGCGACTCGGTTGTGGCACCGTCGAAGAAGAGAGGCTCAACTGAGGAAAATCAAACTGAGGGGTGTCCAGCCCTGGGGAATAGATGTCCGACGCTGCACTCTCTCATTGTGCTAGAGCGAGGGGAATCGGTGTTCGCACCGAGGCCAGCGCAACAAACGGTTGCCGGGGCTTGGGGTAGTTTTGTCTTTGGCCCGAGTGTACGCGCCCGGGTTCCCCGCATTAAGCCGGACCTTCTGTCACAACTCGTCTCAGTGGGGAGACAGGGCAAATATTCATAAAATAGCGAGGGTCACAAAGAACAATCAGGGGGTCCCAAATCAGTCTTGTTTTCCTACCCGGGTAGTAAGCACCGGGCTTGAATTAAAAGTATACCGCGGGTTGAACATCCGGACAACGAAGACGTTTTGAGGAAAACGGGAATTGCAAGGAACGTGATACTTACAAACGGAGAAAGGCAGTTGAAATTTCCGCGACATAATGAAGAAAGAGATCACAGTGCTTTTAGCACTCTCAGAATAGAGTCAAGAGGGACAAAGGTAAGCATCGATTAACCTACCTAACTAGCTTGCGCAAATGGATGACAGAAAAAGGTTAGAATAGGAAGGACCCAAAATCGGTGTGAGCTGAAAGGGGAACGAAGCTGTAGAAAGTCATAGCCGCCCTCGTAAGATTGGCTGAGTCATGAAAAAGGCCTGACTGGTTTTAATGCATATTTTTGTTTGGTTTTCGAAATTATTCCATACGATCTTTTTTTTTTTTTTTTTTTTTTTTTTGGTAAGTGGGTGCAATCTGTTGACGGTGTATCCTGAAAATGCAAAGCACTGTTAATGCATAAACCTTGAGATTTAATTGACCTTGCCTTCGTTGTAGTCAGAAGGCAATAAAAATATCCCACCGCTGCTCTTGTGATGAATTGAGTAACCGCGGTTTGGTACGAGAGGAAACAGAGCACGCACGCACACACACACACACATATTTTAATGCGTGCTTCGGTTGCAGACTGTTGACTAGGAACACACACACACACACACTGAGTCAGCAATTATTATTTTATGCTTGTTTAGTTTAATATGGCTGAGGAGGAATATTTTTGAAGTTTTTTTAATCAGTTTGTTTAGGTGCTTCCAAATTTTTATTTTTTGATGACTGCGTGTCTAGAGAAATTCTCGACAGTGTTTAATGTCACGGGCTTTGTTAAGGCCACCATTGAAAAGTGACCAGGGCAATGAACGACAAGAAATTTCTCAGCAAACGTATTCTTCAAAAAAAAGATTAATTGTAAAAATACAAGAAAAACTGAATACTTAAACTTACAATATAATCCTTGCACATCGTACATAACTATATAAAAAAAAAAATATATATATATATATATATATATATATATATATATATATATATATATATATATATATATGCTACTGCTGCTGCTGCTACTAATGCAATAATCTTCTATAAAACAAATCGAGTCACTGGTGTGTTTATCTAAAAGTAAATACGCTTAAATTCAAATTCATCTCTGCGCCAACGGCCTAGGGATAGATTCTCCGGCTGACGAAAATTCAGCCGGGTATCGATCCAAGTTAAAGGCAACTGGACGTCTAGCCACACACTGATGAGCTGTGATACAGCGAAACTGTCCGTCTGTGGATGATAATGCACACACACACACACACACACACACACATATAGATAGATAGATAGATAGATAGATAGATAGATAGATAGATAGATAGATAGATAGAGTTGAGTTTGTACATATATATATATATATATATGTATGTATGTATGTATGTATGTATATATATAGATAGATAGATATGCATACACACATAGTATCCAGATAGATAGATAGAGCTGAGTTTTATATATATATATATATATATATATATATATATATATATGTACGTATGTATATATATATATAGATAGATAGATAGATAGATAGATAGATAGATAGATATGCATACACACCTATATATTATCCAGATAGATAGATAGATAGATAGATAGATAGATAGCTGAGTTTATATATATATATATATATATATATATGTACATATATATATATCTTTATGTGAATGTGTATTTGTACGTGTGACATGTTTATGATTATTTTTACAGACTTGCATGTGATCTATTTATATACAACTATGTGTGTATGTATATTATGCATGAAACATCCATATAGTCACTTACATATACATCACATAAGTGCGAGTATGTGTTTTCTCTGTATGTGTGTGTGTGTATCTTTGTCAGTCAGATGGAAAAGTCGAGCGTCTGTGTTTGACCGACTTTTAGCCAGGCATTTAAGAGTTTTGAATTTCTCTCTTGTTTGCAAACATCAAAGGCTTTGCTCTCACATCCCCGGGCACAGTGCACACGTTTCTCTAATCTCTTCCTCTCTCTCTCTCTATATATATATCTTTCTCTCTATCTCTACTGAGTTCTTTTTCTTCTTCTTTATAGTCACCCTCTTTTTCTTTCTCTACCTCTCTTCTCTTTTCTCTCTCTTTCTCTCATTCTCATTTTCGTTTATAGCGTTTTTGTCTTTTTGTCAAGTATCTTTACATATTAGCAACAACAGGCCCACTCACAAGAGATGTTATATATATATATATATATATATATATATATATATATATATATATATATATATATATATATATATATATTAATGGATATTTGGGGAGCAACCTTTCTTTTAAATATCTTTCGTTAAATATGACGGAGAATGAAAAGTTTGTTATTTTTTCTTTTTTTTTTTCTTTTTCCGGAGTTCTTACATTTTACCGCTAGGTGGGAGTGATGGAATTACAAAAACAGTCCATACGATACATTGTCTCAAACTTTCGGACACTTTCTTTGCCATTCTTAAGGAAGTTTTGTTTTGGTGTTGTTAGCTACTGTTATACGTACACACACACACACACACACACACACACACACACACACACACACATATATATATATATATATATATATATATATATATATATATATATATATATGTATGTATATATATATATATATATATATATATATATTACAATGAATCATTCATACAAAATTAGGTTAATGATCAAAAATGGCGAAATCCTTCACAAACAAAATTTCAAAGTTGTATTAACCTACAAATAACACATTTCTAAAAAAAACATATTTCGATTCGCATTTAATCTTTCGTCTCTAATGCTACCTGGATTTGCTAAAAACAAAATAATTTCCATGCCTGAGGATGACTGTGTGTAAAGTTGAAAGTACTAGCAGATTAAAAAAAGACAGCTTATAATTATTAAAAACCAGGATCATAACATTCATTGAGTAGTTCGTAGGTTAATGCAACTTTAAAATTTTGTTAGCGAAAGGATTTCGCCATTTAATATCATTAAATTTACTAATCTATTTTTTGTATGAATGATTCATTTAATATATATATATATATATATATGAATGAATGAATGATTCATTGTATATATATATATATATATATATATATATATATATACGTATGTGTGTGTGTTTGTGTGTGCACGCGCGCGCGTGTGCGTACGGGAGAAAGTGGAAGGATGATAATGTAATAGATAGATAGATAAGTAGATAGATAGATTTTTTAGTCATTTCACTCTAAGTAAGACGATAAAGCCACTAAAACGGAATTGTTACTTCGTGTGAAATATATGAGAAAAAACAAAAACATTATTAAGGCGCGAGAACAATAAAATGGCAGGAATTAAAAAGACAGAGTTCCACAAGTGGGAGGTGCAAGAGAAGAAACTGTTAGCATAGAACTTACGGCTGCATCTAGCCATTTCAACTGCAAAATGATGAGACTTTCCCGCCAACCGGGTACTGCACTTAAGTCCATAATGTCTAGGTACCATCAAAGAAAGATTATCAGATTATCAGTACAATTGCCATAAAAATATTTATAGAAAAAGCCCAGAGAAGCAGTGGGGAAATGACAGAAGCCAAGATACCAGGTCAGGACTAACAATATTGCAGATACTTCTTTGTATTCTATCAAAAATCTCTGAATACATAGCAGAAGCACCTAATCAAATGTGACAGCAATATTAAATGCATGGACGTAAGGTAGACTTATAAATGTGTAAGATAGATTCTGGCGAGATAGATTGTCTAGCACGACACAGTGAACCAATTTTCCAAAAAATGGACCTGGCAGTTGAGTCAATATAATCTTTCCACTTCATGCCAACGAAAAACGTTAGCCCATGAAGGCGTGGTGAGTTACTCTCCTCGGAGTTAGCATCAGCCATACTGATATAAGGCAAATAATTTCTCTAGGGTCATTAAAAGAAATCAGTTTCCTTTTTGGAGTCACTAAAATTAACAAGCCATTGCTTGCCCCAGTAAACAACTGATTGTAAGTCATTCGCATAGATTAATTGCTAATTATCGCACCAATCACAATTACAGAAATAAATATGAGTGCCATCAGCATAGACACTGGGTTGATAACTAATGACATCAGGAATGTCGTTGATGAAAAATAAGCACAACATAGGTGCAGCCACCTGCATTAATTAAAAAAAAGATCTAGAAGAGTGGCCGTTCACGATAACTTACATTTTCGCGATTTGGTGAGAAATATTGGATCAGGTTCGCCCAGAAATAACATAACTTTCAAATTTCAGCCAGTGTGTCAAACACTTTCAAACGCCTTCAAGATATCTAACAGCCCGAGGTTCACCATTCTTATCTAAAGCCTGATAGATACTTTCAGTAATCTTACTTATTATAAAACGCAGATGGCGTGTGTGTGTGTGTGTGTGTGTGTCTGTACGTTTATATATTGGATCGGATTTCCTACATTTTTCAACCGATTTCAACAACACTTCACAGTACTACGTAAAATTACCTTGCGGTGGTTCTAACAGCGCCAAAAATTGGAAAAACACAATTGTTTTTGCACAAAATCAATTTGAAAACACGATTAATCGCGAGAATAAAAGGGGGACAACTCATATCGAGTTATACTTATTATAAAACACAGGTTGTTTTTGTGTGTGTGTGTTCGTTTATATATGGGATTGGATTTCCTACATTTTTCAACCGATTTCAACAAAACTTCACTTTTTTTTTGCAGGTAGTGTTTCTTATTGTCTTGCACACTTTTTCTTTATTTTTACATTCAGAATGCTTTAAAAATTCCATTTACAAGACAACTGTTTATAATAAAATTCTATTCAATCGGTAGACTCATAACGATTGAAAACAATGTTTTTGTTTGAGTTTGGGTTTGACCAATTCGTAAAAAAAAAAAAAACTAATTAAGACATGCGTGTCCGTCAACTTTAAACAATAATCTTTGTTCTTTTTATTTTTCAGTCTTTATGATGGTCGATAGTTGATCTATCTCTTACTGTTACATCCCCGAGCAACGCCGGGCTCTACTGCTAGTAACAGTTAACACATCAGCCAATCTCCTAGTGAAGCGAAAGCCATATTGCTTGTGTGAAAGAAACCCCTTCAGTGTGAGATGATTAACCATTAATTAGAGCCGCTAGTACTTTGCCAAAAAGTGGTAGCGTACTAAGAAGCACATAGAAGGGCCAGATGGTTTGCCATAAAGACTAAAACTACAGAAGGGGATAACCAACAAGCAGGAAAGTAAGAAACATCAAGGCATTTATTGTAGAGTTTAGAGAGATCACGCACCACTTAAGAGGTGCATTTCTCAAAAAACTATTGCAGATATGACATCAACTTCACATGCTTTGTGATGTGGCACCATTTAACGAGGCAGAAAAGGAAAAGAAAGAAAAGAAGGCAGAAAGGCGAGACGAATCGTGGGTGATAAGCAGAACACACACACGGCTAAGAGGCAATGGATATATTGATAAGTAACAAATGGCGAAAGGGTGTCATTACAATGACAGGGAAATTATGAGTAAAAAGAAAGGAAAAGAAAGAAAGAATCTGATGTGTTTTGATAACGGCTGTGTTATCTAGGGGTACGTAAACTGCTGGTCGACTGGCCAAAGAAAACTTCAAATGAAAATGTTATTTCGATAAGTGACGAAAAACAGGCAACTAAAAAGACTTTGGACAGATAGGAAAAATTAATTGTATCAAAGCCACACGCACGACTGACCGAATTATTTCGACGGAACATCCTTGGCCTGCGATAATAAAATTATGTTATCAGAAATATGTACCGAAGGGGAATGAATGGGAATTTAGAAATGTCTTTTCGGGGCGACGTTGGCCGTGTTAAGAAGTCCACCTATTCTGATAATTGGCGATAAAATACCTGACGAAAACCACGTGTAGAACAAGAGTTATGACCGCCATTGTTCATATTGTCCCATTTGCGGCTAGATAAATGATAACGGCGATTAAGAGGAAGAAAAGGAAAAGAAGGGATAATTTTTTTTAGTTAAGCAAGATATTTTTTTTTCCTAAAACAAAGCCGCGGATTCGTCCACGCCCGACTAAGACATCATTGGTCGAGTGGTGATCACGTGACGCACAAAGGAGGCTGTCGCCGCCTCATCCAGAGTGTAGGTATGAGAAGCTGCTACGAAGAAGTGGGGAGGGCAGTTCACGCCCTCTGAAGAATGGTGAGAAGGTGGGAGTAAGGAAAGGCTCCCAAAAATGGAAAAAAGTGGAAATTCCTAACCAGAGAGGTGGATATGTATTTAGAATTATCGAGGAAACCCCCGACGCCGACAGACCCACCCCGGTTTTGGTCGGCGTCCATATAAGCGGAGCCTCAACAAGCAGAAATCAGTTGAGTTCCAGAGTTCCAGGAATTCAGTTCCCAGAGTCAGTCTCCAGTTGAAGCCGCCTGGCAGATAGCTGACCAAGATTCACGCAAATTCCGGACTCCTCTTCAACCCAAGAACAATTAATTTGAAGAGCGACTTAGATCCAGACCACCGAAATAAGTTTTTTTTCGACTTTCGTCCGCAGACACACCGAAAAACCAATTTCTTAGAGAGCAAACAACTTGAAGCGTTAAAAGTCGCCTAACGGAAAATGACGTGTCACAATCCATAGAACGGGTCGGGAGATAGATGCAGTCCTATGTATCGAACAACTAGACATAAAGTTTGTTACCTTTTTCTTTGATACTTTGAACTTTTGAGTTTTCATTTTATTTTCTTTTATGCATATTTGTGTGATATCACCCCCGTTGAACTCGGTTTGCATTACGGCCCCAACCACTGATTGATCTCGTCTGCCTAAGATCAAGTCACAACGTGGGTAGGCAGACTGGAGATCTATGCAGTTACCTTGGTAACCAGGCGTTGGAAGCGAGTTGGGAACGACGAGGCTGATATCAAATCTAACCAGATTCCCACCCGAATCACCAAAAGGTTAGAACGTCACATTTGGGTGCCGCGACCGATACCAAGCCAGTTGGTCGTCACAGGACGAGACAACACGACTGACGCGACAGGCTGACGTCACGTTTGGAGCAGCGACACCCGAACGGAACAGCGAGGAGCGAACAGCTGGCGCCGCGGCGAGGACGTCACAATTGGTGCTGTTTAGGGACGTCACAACTGGTGCCGTGGTAGACCAGGATAGGACGTCACAGTTGGCGCTGCGACCAGGGGACGACGTCACAGTGAGGAACAAGTAAAGACATAACAGCAGAAACTGTGGATGGATTTATATGCATATCACTCAATAGAGACTCAGTTCTGCGGGGAAAATCATGCAAAGATATATATATATATATATATATATATATATATATATATATATATATATATATATAGTTAGACAGATCATGTGCAGAATGGGATTTAAATTTATATGAATAAGTAAGAATCTATCTTACGCTTTTATAAGTCTGCCATTCGTCCGTGCATTGAATCGAGTCCAATGTTTTCGCTGTGCATTTAGAGATTCTGCAAGAATCTGCAATCTTAGTGGCTTTGACCTGGCATCTCTATTTCAGTCATTTTGCCACGGCCGTAACGTACATTCCCTGTGCATTTTCTATAAATACTTTCATGGTAATATTTCTGATGAACTTTTTTGATTGATGCCTGAACTTTATCAGTTTAAGCGCAGTACTAGATTGGCGGAAAGGTCTCATCTATTTACATTTGAAATGGCTAGATCCAACTATAAGTTTTATGTTAACTAAGAAAAAGAGACAGAAAGATAGCTGTGAATAAACTGAGATAGATAGATAGATAGATAGATAGATAGATAGATAGATAGTACAGAGACAGATAGATATGAAGAGAATAAAATAGATAGACATGAAGAGAATGCGATAGATAGATAGATAGATAGATAGATATATATGAGTTGAATGACATAGATATGAACAGAATAAGATAGATAGATAGATAGATAGATAGATAGATAGATATGAGTTGAATGACATAGATATGAACAGAATAAGATAGATAGATAGATAGATAGATAGATAGATAGATATGAGTAGAATGACATAGATATGAACAGAATGAGATAGATAGAGAGATAGATAGATATGAGTTGAATTACATAGATATGAACAGAATGAGATAGATAGATAGATAGATAGATAGATAGATAGATAGATATATAGATAGATATGAAGAGAATGAAATAGATAGATATGAAGAGAATGCGATAGATAGATAGATAGATAGATAGATAGATAGATAGATAGATAGATATGAGTTGAATGACATAGATATGAACAGAATAAGATAGATAGATAGATAGACAGACAGACAGACAGACAGATTTATACATACATACATACAGACAGACAGACATACATACATACATACCTGGGTATGCTTTTTTATAATTCTCTCCGTTCCCCCAAGAAATCAGAACATCAACGAGTAACCCTAAATTTATCATGCCTATTTACGTCAGACTTTGCCTTGACCAGAGATTGAACTCAATACTTCAGTAATACGAACGATCACTCACAAACACTGCTGCAAGCTCCTCCTGATGAAATAAATGGTTTTATTCAAACATTCTTTTTTACTCTTCCTGCTTTGCGAACTAAAGAGGGGATCGCCGAGAGGGGTTCTGAACAAATTTTCCTACCGTTTGACCAAAATCCTACATCAAACTCTGACCTTGTGTGACATTTTTTACGTCATAGCCGTAATACCTGCAAGATGCGACATTCGACGGCATACGGATGAAGATTACACCGTCTGAAACATTGTTTTGAAACCAAAAAATGTATTGTAAGGATATGTAGATATCTTCACGACTTCGCTAAAAAAGAGCATACCCTGCTGGAAAAAAGGCCCCAAACTTGATAAACAATTTTTTATGGTCTAAATGTTTATGTTATTATTAGAAGGAAAGACCAAAGTAGTTTTTTGTTATGTTTTTACATTTTTATTTCTTCCTAGCACGTACGAAATTTTAGTTAAAAATCTTGTCTTTTTTTTTTTTTGAGTCAGCAAAATTGCCATAAAATCATGCCCGCCATTTCTGACAACTTTGTAAACAAAAGTTAAATTCTCCGTTTAAAAATCTTGTAAAAATCAATTATGCCTTTTTCAAAAGTTATTTGAGGAAAATTAGATAATGTAAAGTTTACTTAATGTAATTTGAAACAAACATTACTCAATTTGTTAGCAGAAAAAATATTTGGAAATAAGAGAAGCATGTCTAAACGTGATGATTTGTTTTGGAATGTGTGAACTGAGGTTTACATAAATGTATCGATATCTAACGTCAGAGGAATTTATCGGATGGAAGGACTGAAGTGACAGTATTTTCGAATCTTAAGTGAACCAGCTTATTTAACTATAAAGGAAGTTTTTAAAAATTAAATAATTTCAAAAGTAATATTTTATTGAGATTTTTAGGTACTTCCTTTAACGAAGATGTGTCCAAAGCCCGCACCATTTCTGTTCTTGAAATTGAATCTAAAAAAGAAAATAATTAATAATTGCAGTTTATCTCTCACTAAAAACCAATAAATTAATTATATTTAAAAAAAATGAAAAAAAAATTAGTGAAAAAGGATCTAAAAAAGAAAATTAAAAAATTTACAAATGCGATTATGATGGTCACTCATAGAATTTAAAATGTGCTCGCAAAGTAATTTCTGAGGCCTTATCCTCGTTATCAGGAGAAACAATTCTTAAGACGCGTGGCCTGTTATGTCTGAACCGTGCTTCCATAGTTTTGGAGAAAACGTTTTTAATACATTTTGTTGAGGGGTCCACCCCTTTTTATACAAATGGACTCACCTAGTGTATAATACTACTGCAAGAGCGAGACGAGAGAAAGACGAGAGCAAGACTGAAGAGTCGAGTCCAGAGTGAGAGAGTGAAAGGTTGTAGGTAACCGTAAGAGTGAGGGTGAGGTTACAGCGTTGTAGGAGTCACAGTGAGCGAGCACGTAGACTCAGTAAGAAGTCATACAGCGATACTTCTATACCAAAGACTGTATATATATTTTGCTACTAACCCGTATTCCTGGAACTACTAACCTGCTTTACCAGTTTGTATTATTACGTTAATACATTATTTTCATATATTCATTCCTGGCGTTTGTTATTTATTGGTACCGGATTTCAACCCGGAATCCACAACAGGTGTGAAAGCGTTTGTTTTTTTTTTTTTGCATATTAAAAAAGTATTTTAAAAATATTTTTAAAAATGTTTTCGTGTCATAGATTTACATAAGTTTTCAAATTTGTGTGTAAAAATAGATGTTTTAATAACAGAATTTCCAAAAAGACACAGATTCGAACTTAATTTTAAAATAATTAACAACTTTATCACATTTTGTATTTAAAAAAAAAAAAGTAAACAATACTTATAAAAATTCATTTTTCATAGGGAAAAATATTTTGGCTTCAGACAATAGTCTTCTTATCATATATTATTCATAAAAGCTTTTCTAATTAAATAATGTCTTAGCTTTATTGGGTTTTGTATTTTACAGTTCAGGGCTGAACTTTGGGTAGATACGCATTTCGATTTACTAAAAGAATTGATGATTATATTCTGCAAAATTATCAGCTTTTAACCAATATAATCGCAAAATTACACAAAGTCTAATTATCGAGTTTTCATAAAACTAAATTAAGGAGGGCGGTAACAGATGTAAAAAAAATATATAAAAATATGATTTTCTAAAAAGCAAACATTTGTAAAATAATCTCATTCACTTGTAAATAAGTTTCTGAAAGTTTCACTAAAATTGGACAATTATTTGATTTTTGCAAGAATTTCTTAATTTATGTGGGTTTTTTTTCAACTGAAAAAAGGCGTTAAAATCTAATAGTAAATATTACGTGACCCCTGACGTAAAAAAAAACAAGATTTTTAACCAAAATTCCGAACGTTCTAGAAAAGATAAAAATTAATTAAAAAATATTTTAGTCTTTCGTCTTAATAATAACATAAACATTTTGACGATAACACTTTCCTTTTGTTTGGGGCCTTTTTTCAGCATGCTATGCTGTTTTTACAGCAAATTATTGACGTTACCTAGATGATTGGTAAAAGTCATTACCTAAGATCAGCCTGCCCGTGGTCCCACTGACCCACTAAACCAAATCAGGATCTTTATTTTTAAGAATCCCTGCTGCCCTCCAAATGCTATCAAGATCTTTGATAATTTCCATCCAACCTTCTTCCATTTTTTTTCTTTTTTTTTTTGTCCAATTTCGTCCCTTAGCCGATTTAGCCAAGCCCGCCGCTTGTCGAGCTGTTCGCTAGATTGATTCTCTGGCGATAAATCGTCCTGCATAAGGTTGTGTTAATATGCGGAGGCTTGATAAGAACCACCTGCTTCTGTAGAGAGGATACGTGTTAACCATTCCTAATCTGGCCAGAGAAAAAATATCCGACATACTTACCTCTTTAGGTGACCGACAAACACCACCGATAGTACTGGATGTAGATAGTTGAATACCTGCCTCCCCGCATATACACATACATGCATATCTATCTATCTATCTATCTATCTATCTATCTATCTATCTATCTATCTATCTATCTATCTATCTCTGTCCTTTTCATATCTATCTATCTATCTATCTATCTTTCTATCTATCTATCTATGTCCTTTTCATATCTATCTATCTATCTATCTATCTATCTATCTATCTATCTATCTATCTATCTATCTATTTCGGTCCTTTTCATATCTATCTATCTATCTATCTATCTCTCTCTCTCTCTCTATATATATATATATATATATATATATATATATATATATATATGAAGACACGTTTCGTTAAATAATTTAGACATGACCTGTTTTCTTATTCCCGATAAGATCATTTAATATTCGCGGATAAGCTTTTTTTGTACGGTTATTAAAAGGCGAGAGGAAAACACCGTTTTGGCTCATATTGTATTTATTTCCGAGTACTTTTGACATAGCTGAATGTCGTCATCAGGGTATTGTTAATTATAGAGTTAGAATTTAGTGTTCATGGTTGTGAAGGACAAAAATTGTTGTGATCATTCGAATATTACCATGACGAAAGAAAGAAATATGTGTATGTCTGTGTGTGTGTGTGTGTGTGTGTGTGTGTGTGTGTGTGTGTGTGTGTGTGGCTTAAATAATAGATTATTAGTACTTTTTCAGCTTAACTAGCGATTCTCGTGATGAAAGTAATAAATGAAAATGAGTGATTTTAAAAAAACAAGACGTTAATAATTATACTGTCTTTTTTCGTCTTGTGATCTGATGAATCCTAAAAAGGCGAAACGCGTAATCAAATCTAGTTTCAATGAAAAGTTTTTCCATTTGACAAATTTTTTCAAGACTTAGGGATTCTATATCCTATTTTAAACACGCACACACACACGCGCGTGCGCGCATATATATATATATGATTTGAACAATAAAAGTATTGAGAAATTAAAAAATTAAAATTTTCAGACACACTGGGCTGTATATTAATATTTTTTGTTTTATTATTTTAATTAGATTCCGAGACTAGTTTCGGCCAGCATGACCATCATAAGGAGAGAAAATTCTGCTTGTTATTAACAGTGAACTACAGGAATGAATATATATATATATATATATATATATATATATATATAATAATTTTTTATAGAAATTTTTATATATATCCAGAACAGTTCTTAAAAAGATGTGTTGGGGGAATTCCTGAGAACAGTGAGAACTTATTCATAAGAAAGCTTTTTCACAAAGTACGAACCAGTAATCGGACTACTGTGGCACAAATTTCAAATACCTTTAATTAAGGAAAAGATGACGTCACAACACAAAATACATCGTTCCTTGTCGCGTACAAGACACAGGTGACTTAGATCTACAATCATAGCTAATATGAATCGAGTAAATTGTCTTCGACGGTAGTACGAGTATTCAGATGAACGACAGGGTATCAATGTGCCGTAATCCTCATGAAATAATAGAAACAGGCTGCACTGTGTGAAAATAGTTTAGCATTTGGAAGTTCTGTGGTGGATAGTTCTGTGAAAAATCAGGTAAAGATACTCCGGATGAGTCAAGAATAGGCTTTTTAAGAGAATTTACGTACAAAACATTCTGCTTTATCAGCAAAAAGATAGTAACACTGCAAAATGTGTGAAGAGAAGAGGGATAAAAGATTTACTCTTATTACACACACCACGGGGTACAATGGATAAATTGTCATTTAAATAACACAAGCATCTCATTTTAACAGATATATTTACCCAAATTATACAAAAATATCTTGAAACATCAAACAGTAAATTTATTCACTAACATCGCCATTGGCCTCAACCACAGCCTTCAGATGACTTTAGAATCTCCTGCAAGTTTTCTGGACG